CTAACATGGACTTTATTGTGGTTAAGAGAAGAAGTTCGGAAGATAGTGACCACGGACCAGAAAAGTTGAGAAAATTGTCAGGAGAAAGAGACTCGGAGCAGAATAAAAGAAAAGATAATGAGGATCATGAAAATTCCAAAAAGATGAGAAAAGATACAGAGGATGAGAACGATAAGGTAAGACTTGTAACTTCTATTGTTAGAGCAGTTGATTTTTAAGTCTTGTGTATGGTTTCTTATATTGGAAACGGATTGATTTGTTCCAAGAAATATATATTGAATAATTAATGGTTATGGACTTTCTATTATACTTATATTTTACAGACATGGAAATAATCATTTAACCCATTGGATCCGGGTGCTTCGCTGCCAGCACGTGGCCCAAAATCCAGGCTTTAGGCTCACTTGATTGGTAACTTTCCTGGATGTGTGGTTTATAGGCTGGGTTTTTTTTTTTTTTTTTTTTTTTTTTTTTTTCCCAAGGTCAAATTTGTCAGTTGATAAGCTGTGTCAAGATGGTAATATAATGTTTTCCTTGCACAGGCTTCATATCATCCCTCTAGGTAATCAATTAGTCTGTGCAATAACAGTAACAATAAGGAAGATATTGTTATTTGAGTACTTATTTATTATATAGTTTTGTAATATTCAGTTTTCTGTATCCTCCATGGAGCTGGTACCTGTTATGGCTCATGAATGCTACCTTTCGCACTCATTGCTGATGAAATAATGCAAGAGCCACATTGAGTCTTTATTACCATCCAAGAGCTTTGTGCACTCATTGCAAGCCATTCCCTTCTGCTGAAATTCTCCTGATGGCATGATCCCGTCACCCCAGCACCCAGCCAAATTTTTCCATGATGGCATGTTCATGTCAGCAACCCCTCAAGTCTAATTTTTTCATGACATGATGGTGATGTCACCCGGATTCAAGGGGTTAGTTCATGGAACAGATATGATAAGGCTGTTCCATGCAAATAGCACATTTTTCATTTTGGTGTGGAGAGAGGTGTAAGCATAACCATTTAATATACATTAGGCTTTCAGTAAGGCTGTGAGATTAAAACATGAAAACACCCAGAGTTGCAGTGAAAAACAGTTTGAAGAACAATGTTTTAGAATATTGTTGGTTTATTAAAAAAGGTATTAGGCCCACTGGATTTTATGTTTGAAATGTGAGATATTCATAATTAATAATACTAGAAAAATCTGAAGATGTCTTTACTTTTTGCCTTTGCAATTTTATTTTTTCTCCAGCGGTGAGTTAGGTATTTCATTTATCAGTAGATGTCATTTTTTGTAAACATTAGGCCCACTGCTCAAGAGTGTATCTTCTGGATATTATGACAAAATTATTGTTGGTAAAATGTACCATTGCAGTCAAGTTTAATATTTCATTAATCAATAGCAATGGCTGGCTTTTGCTAGATAAACTGATTTCTTACGTTTCCCAGGAATCTGAAGTGAAGTGTTTTATATCATATTTTTTCAGGATATGTATTATCCTCTGTTAATATTTTTTTCTTCCTTCAGACCTCACAGGAGAATGGGAAGAAAATGAAACATGACAGAAAACCCATCACATGGCCGTGATTTTGTCATTGGTATTTATTATAAGAGAATGCATAGATATAAGGCAGCAAGTAGGAAACGGAAACGACTGACAAGAGAAAATGTTTAGCCAGCTCTTTAGTATGGTGAAGGAAATAAATGCTGATAACACAATTTATAGAGAGGAACATAGAGTCTGCATCTGCTAAGAAGTGCTTTGGGGGGAAATTCAGTGATTGTATATATACACCAAAGCTTAGAAGAATATTCTTTACTGCTTAAACTTGTATAAGTAAGGAACTCATGCATAGAAACATTTCTCTAATAGCCAAAAAGCAAATGTTTGTATAGTATGTCCATGATACTCTTTGAATATAGAACCCTACTTACAGGCTAGTGGTGGAAATTATTTTGTGTTCTTTATAGTATACCTGTAATGTGGATACTCTTTATTTTATTTTTAAGAATTGATTTAGATATGAATTACACAGCACTAATGGCTTATATACATGAACAACAAAACAAAACAATTGATGATTGTATTCTTGCTATTGGACAATAGGGATAATAGAACTGTAACTGTGCAGCTTTTTCTACAACCTACTTATTTGATATGTAGAATAACAAATTTGGAATGTATGAAAATTCTTGATTATTTCAAAGAACTCGTCTTCTTTTTCTTACATTTCTCTATAGTTATATGTTTTTGTTACATACTAGGCAGTTTACCAAAGACAGAGTGCTGTGAGTGGACACCTTTACCCCTTAAAAGATGCATATCTTACAGTCTGTGGCTAATCTTTATATCATACAGTTGCATCTGTCCGCTGTAAATTAGTATACACAAAAAATTATTTGTATTTTGGGAATCTGCTGATCAAATTCTACATTATAAGATTTAAAAAGCATAATAGTCATTTACCCAGTTCAGTTTTCCCTATGTCAATTCCCCATATCAAAATATTGGATGTGTATCTTTTAGGAGTTAAAGGAACTGTTAACTGCTAAAATGCCTGAAAATAGTCAAAACATTTTCTTTCTCAATTTTATCAGGTAATGATATAATTCAACCCACTTAACTTTTCTTTAACCCATTCACGCCGGGTGTCACGTATATGGGACGGGCCCACTGTGAGTTTACTTGTTTAATTGTTTTCAAACATAGATGGCTGCACTTGTACTTGTACTGCTTGTCTCGCCTGTTTACCCTTTTCTTTAATTTACGAAAATATTATACGTTATCTTATTTTGCTGTTACTAACATTATAGTAATTATAATGTTTATAATAAAAATAACCATCGATATTCACTGTAATAGTAAAAATACATTTTCCCGCCAAATGAAATCAGGTAAGGCAGAGCCATCTAGTGTAGAAAAATTTCACAAAAAGTATAAAAATTGAGCACGGCATTTCCCCCCATTTTTTGTTCATTTTTACCCGGCGCGAATGGGTTAAGGTTGATTGAGAATTGAGAATCATAGTCTCCTTAAGAGGTTGTCACTTTAGAAAACTACACAGGTTTTGATTTATCTTTCTCATTTGTTTTTTATTAGAAATTAATATATTTTGCTTCTGAGAGCATATCCCAGAAATATATGAAAGATAGAAATTTGAAATCCAGTAACTGTATGAAAAGGGTCTTTATATAATTAACCCTAATTTCAGCTCACATTTAGTCATATGCAACTTATATGATGTACCTCATTTTCCAGTACATTTTCTCAGTAGTTAGAGAACAAGAAGAAACATGAAATATAGTATCAATAGATTATTAATATTTTGGAAGGTTTGTTAGAACTCTAACCACAAACAGTTTCTGTCCTTATGTTTAAACATGTATTTGGGTAACCTGATCATTTTCATACATACATGTATTGAAGGGAATTTGTTTTTGATAAGTTAAAGGCACATTTACTCTTCAAGTAGATGATAACATAACTTGTAGTCTATGTAGGAGCTACCAGTTGGTGCTTAGAATGATTTTGTAAGTGCCGATAGTGAAGTAGCCTTAGCTTTCCTGGGCAGAAAATTGTTTCCCAACTAAATACAAGCTAACAATCTAAAGCATCAGATGATACTTACAATGATTATATAGATAATGATGATACTAAATAAATATGCATCTATTGTGGAAATATGCCTTTATACTTTATATATGCAGCTAACTACAAAGCTTAGATATATGTGAATTTGTCTTTTTAACTTGTTAAGAAGTACTACTTACCATACCACAAAAAAATTTTAGAATTTCATTCACATGGTCAGACAAAATCCATGAGCAAAAGCAGGCAGGTTGCCTGTTGATGAACTTTTTGCTTGTGTCCATTGGCACACCAGATGAGTGCTTATGCTGAGGTTTAAGCCAATTTGCTAGAAGTGACTGGTAATATAATAATGTTACATATGGACCCTAAGGCATTACTTGAAATTTGCCACTAGTAATTATTGTCAGTTGTCATGTCTATCCTGCCAACCAAAATGTACTATGCATGCACGGTCTTGTCGAGGACCCACTTTTGCTTCTGCCTGGATTTAATTGTCCGTGTGGACAACATTACAGGAGTGCCCAGCAGGCACTGATCATTTTTGGGTTGGGGCTCAAATCTATTAATGGTACCCTTAACATTACTGGTACTGTTATTGGCACAAGCAGTAATTCTGACCTTACATTTACTGCCACCTTTGCATAAAATGATATTCATCATAATTTATGGAAAGGTGTTGTCACATAGTACCTAGCATAAAGAAGTAGGCAGTATATTGAATGATGGAAATTTGCTGGTGATAGTTGTGTATTTGGATTTTAAGTGATTGTTCATTTCTTTTTCTTTAAGAAGGAAGAAAAGTTACAATAATTTTTTTTTAGAAAGGGAATGTGCCCTCTTGTCATATAATTTATAAATGGCCAGCTTTACTTATCTGGTGACTTTTCTTCTTCTTCTTCTTCTTCTTCTTCTTCTTCTTCTCCTCCTCCTCCTGCTGCTGCTGCTCCTGCTCCTGCTCCTGCTCCTGCTCCTCCTCCTCCTCCTCCTCCTCCTCCTCCTCCTCCTCCTCCTCCTCCATGGTTATCTTTCACTCAAAAGTTTCAGAAATCCTTGACATTATTTTCTACTGAGAAAATCTTCTTCACATCTGTAAGGAAAGTAAGGAGTAGGTTTTCTGTATATTGTTATCTTATGTGCTTATGGTAGGGCTCATTTGTTTCTCTGTTACTTTGTAACTTTTGCACTCTCTGGGACTTGCTGGGATTTACCATGCAAAATATATATTTTTTAGTTTATTGTGAAAATTCTAGATTTTTGCGTGATTTTACTCATTCGGAGTGATAGGAGTGATAGAAACTCCATGATTTTGTAAGTATTCATGTATTTTGTGAGGGGAGAAAAATTGCCTGATAAAAAATTGTATGGAGGATTTTGACAGTTTGGTCAAAATACGTAAGTGGACATTTTTCTACCTGCAAACCATATTCAATATTTTTTAACAAGCTTAATATTTGGCTGTGTTTTGTGCATCACGGATGACTAAAATATGATTTTTGTAAATAGACTTCATCGTATCAAGACAACGCATCTCATTAACTGACAAAATTGATTGCTGTGGAAAATTAGGGAGTATCAGTAAGGTGTACATGGTTGAAGTGAAGTTGGTTTAGTAATTAATAATTTCATATATTTATTTTATGTAATTTTTTTTGTTCTATGTTAATATGTTGTGTACTGTAGAGTGTAGATTGCTTTCTTGACTGAGATTTTTTAATTGAATGTATTGATATTTTCTTGTTGCATAATCCATCCACATATTGCTTTTGATCACTTTTTACCTAAGTATATTTATGCCTTTGTTTGTTTGTGTTTTTTTATGTTTTAGGGTATAATTTAAAGAAAAAACATTTTAATATTTCTTAGGTAATGTATAGTGGATCCAATGACAGTGATGATACTTATACATATAAACTAACATTGAATGAAGAAATATGATTTAAGAATGGAGAATAATTGGATCCTCGTGTTTGGTTATGATATCATATGAGATATACCTGTGCACTTTGTTTGTGAGCAGTTTTTAAAAGATTGTCTTTACCATTCATGTCGTAAAGAATTTTTTTTTTTACTTTCTCTATGATGTGTGTGCATGCGTGCGGGTGCGTGCGGGTGTGCATGCGCGTGTGTGTGTGTGCGAGCTTGTGTAAGCTGTACATGTCTCTCAAAATCATTGCATGTGGCCTTGCTTGACATTTCAGTTACTCCATTCTTTCTCAGGTCACTTCTATAAGTCACTTCTATATGCTGTTAATCATTAGTTCCTTGCACAGTATGAGATATCTCATTAAGCTCAGTACATCCATATTATTCTGTCACATGGTACCTTTGCATAATTATAATGTATGCATGTTATAAGCAACATGATCTCCTTAAATAAGGGGTTAACATGTGAGATTTTTTTTTTGATTTTTTTTTTATTTATTTATTTTTTTTATTTATTATTTTTTTTTTTTTGTGACATTCTAATGATTAAATTAGTATTAAAGACCAAATACGTATCATAGTAATATGTATGAAAATAAATTGTATAGTTCATGAATAAGCCATGGTGCTGTGAAAGGTGTAATATTGATGCAATCAGGTTTCTTTATATAGAGCATAATTGTCAGCTGTTTTGTCTTTTAGTTTGTGGGTATTGTAAGAGTTTCCCTTGCAGAATCTTTAATATGTGTATGAATTATTGCATGTATTTGCTATAGATAATACTTGAGACATGTTATATTGCACTCTGAATGTGATTTATTTTATGGGTGTGTTTTGCATTGTTACCTGCTACATTTAAATTTAAAATGTTTATTTTTTATTTTTTTATGTTTTGAGTTCTGAGTAAGCAAACATTAAACATTTGTATCACAACTTTTTATGGTATTGAATATATCGTCATAGATGAAGAGTTTAGAAAAGTTCAAATTTCAAATTAGATGATGGCATGTTATCTAGATTAAAAGAAAGAAAATAAAAATATTTGATGATGACATATAAAGCTTTTCTCTGTTTCCTTGAAGACTTATAATGCATTACTGAAACACAATTTACCTACTCCATTCACTGTGATTGATTTATTTATCAATTTTATTTATTATTTACTTTTTGTCTTGGGACATAAATTACTTCCCAAGCACTTTGGCAGCAAGGAATCAGTTACTGGGCCTATTTGATCTTACCAGTTTACACTGTTCCATGGATAAAGAATAATTTTATTTTTTATATATGTGTGTGTGTGTGTGTGTGTGTGTGTGTGTGTGTGTGTGTGTGTGTGTGTGTGTGTGTGTGTGTGTGTGTGTGTGTGTGTGTGTGTGTGTCTATATATATATATATATATATATATATATATATATATATATATATATATATATATATATATATATATATATATATATTTATATATATATTTATACATATATATAATATATATGTATATTTATGAATACATATATATATGTATATTTATGAATACATATATATATGTATATATATATGAATATATATATATATATATATATATATATATATATATATATATATATATATATATATATATATATATATATATATTTATGAACCGTATTCATGTCGACGAATGTAGAAAAGGTATGAATGAGAATGAGTATCTTCACAATACAAGAGATGTATTTGACTGGTTTCGAAATATATCTTCGTCAGAAATACATGACGAAGATATAATTCGAAACCGGTCAAATACATCTCTTGTGTTGTGAAGATACTCATTCTCATTCATACCTTTTCTATATATATATATATATATATATATATATATATATATATATATATATATATATATATATATATGAATATATATATATATGAATATATATATATATATATATATATATATATATATATATATATATATATATATATATATATATATATAAATATATATATATATATATATATACATGCATATGCATATATGCATATATATGCATATATATATATATATATGTATATGTGTATACATATGTATACATATATATATATATATATATATATATATATATATATATATATATATA